AAAAAAAAAAAAAATAATCCCAAAAAACAAAAAAAAAAAAAAAACTTTGCTTTTGAGAAAAAAAACGATCAAAATTAATTTTACCGAATTTTTTAGTAATTCGTACAAAAAAAACATAACTTTATAAGTATATTACTAAATAAATAAAAAAAGAAAGAAGACAAGACATAGTGGGAAGCCCACTCGCGCATCCCGCGCGTGTAACTCGTTCTCGGCCACCACTTCTGCGTTTCACAGTGAACAATGGAGTCCGAACTAACGAGCTAAACGATGAGCTTCATCAATCCGTTCAACAGCTTTTCGAATCCATCTTCAATCCAGTCTACGATCTCGCAGATTTCGTCGAATATTCCAGCCCCTATTTCCTTTTTCTTTACTATGATCGTCAAGCCGAAACCCTAGTTTTTGTATTGTTTGGTTTTCGATTCTACATCCTCCACCTGCATCGATCGTGGTAGATTACATGAATGGCTTCAGTGCTGCAAGTCGGCGATGATGCGGGAGGGAATCCCAGGAGAACGGATTATGAAAAGTTTAGTGCCGGGAAGCAACAGAAAGAGCGTAAAATTTCCAAACACGTCGCTCGAAATTCCGTAAAAACTCCTGCGGTCACCAATGGCGTTGCTAATCCGTCCTCTCCTTCGTATAATCCGATCGATGCTTTACTCACGTTTAGGGAATCTTCGCGTCAAAATCGGTGCATCGAACCGATTAACGCCGAGGTCATGCCGGGATATACAAGATTTAATAACCGAGTTAGGATTAGTTTGAATTCCAGGTCGAGGTCTGGGATTAAAGAGCTTACGACGAAGCTGAGAAGCGAGCTTGATCAAGTCAGGAGTCTTGTGAAGAAGTTTGAAGCTCAGGAGTTGCAGCTTAGCGGCTATGGTGGGGATTTTGGACATAGTCAGTCACAGTTTTCCGCTAATAATTTGGTAGACAGGGTTGATAGTACATTGAAGGCTAATTCTGAGGTCGGTTCTGCATATCTGCCCGAATCGAGGCTTGTTCGGAGTGTTTCGGTGGCTGAAAGCTTCGGAGAATTTGCAGAGAAAGAGATGAACAAGCATAAGAACACGAAATATACTCCTACAAAGGAGCTCCCATTGCCGGACTGCAACTTGGATGGAGGTAAGATTATTGGTCCTGTTCTTAAAATCTGTAGTAACTTGCTGGAAAGATTGATGAATCATAAATTTGGTTGGGTTTTTAATGTTCCTGTTGATGCAAAACGTTTGGGGCTTCATGATTATCATAAGATCATAAGGAAGCCAATGGATTTGGGTACTGTAAAGATGAGACTAAATAAGAATTGGTATAAATCACCAAAAGAGTTTGCTGAGGATGTGAGACTAACATTTACCAATGCCATTACATATAACCCGAAAGGGGAGGATGTTCATATTATGGCAGAGCAGTTGTCTAAGATATTTGAAGAGAAATGGAAGGTTATTGAAGGCAAACAAAATGATGGTTCAGTTTTACCAACACCCAGTTCTAGAAAATCTCCAGTTCTTGCCACTCCTCCAATGGAATCAAGAACTTTCAGTCGATCAGATTCTACGACGAAGCCTCCGCCTGCGAATCGGGGAAGTTTCGGTAAATCAGATTCGGTAACAAGACCCCTCAATCCCAAACAGACCCTTGTAGATGTTGTTCATCCTGACAAGAAACCAAAAGCAAAGAATCAAGAACACAGAGACATGACTTATGAAGAAAAACAGAAACTAAGCATTGACCTTCAGGATTTACCATCAGATAAGCTGAATAATGTTGTTAAGATTATCAAGAAGAGGAACCAGGGACTCTTCCAAAACGAGGACGAAATTGAGTTGGATATCGGAAGTGTCGATTCCGAAACGCTTTGGGAACTTGAGAGGTTTGTGGCAAACTACAAAAGAAGTTTGATCAAGAACAAGAGAAAAGCTGAGGCCAGTCTTCAATCAGGAGAGAAATCATCTCACTACTCGACCAAGGATACTGTAAGATTTGCATTAAATTTGTTACAGTTTTGACTTCCTTATAAAAAAGGTCAGCTGGGTGAAACATACGCTATACTGTAATGATGCAGGATCCAGCAGTGGCTAATGCAGCAGGAGAACATGTAGGTGGTAATGAAGGTAAATTTATTGAATTATTTATGTAAAAAGCTTTTTAGTCTAAGAAGAACTTAACCTTAGGTAACATAGAAAAGGAAGAACATATTAAAAAGCATAGCAAAACATGTCCCTACCATGGAAACAACCACTTGATACTAGGTTATTGTCTGATGTACCTTAAGTTGAAGAAGGAATAGTGTCTATTTTTCGTCGGGGTTTCTTGGAAAAAAATAGTCGATCATGATTTTCCTACTGGTTGTGGGCGAGGAGAGATTTGAATCCCCAACACCGTGGTTCGTAGCCACGTGCTCTAATCCTCTAAGCTACAGGCCTCACCCCGTCTCCACTGGATCTGTTTCCAGGAATACCCTAAAAAAAGGAACCTTTCATCATGTGCATCCCATGGATGAATCTATAGTTTTAAAGTTCATACCATATCACTAATTTGCTGAGCATGTGATTCAGTCAGTGGTTCTAGCAGAAAGTTGTAAAGTTATATCCTAATCAGTCAAGTGATTATAGAATCTATATCAGCTATTTCCTAAAACTTCACTCATTTGCTTCTTTGTTTTACAGACTCTGAAAATGATAGTTCCTCGACATGTGGAGACGGAATTCAGTCTCACTCAGGTTGAATCGACTAAAATAAGGTAGGAAGTCGAAGTCTGGTACCGAGCTCGGTAGCTTGCTTCGTAGCTTATCCTATCAATATTTAACATTGAGTACTCTTTGTTCTATGATTTTCCAGCATCTGCTCCTTTTATCTAAACCAATTATGCTGAAAGAATTCTGTGTGAATAATCTTATATTTTGATCATTTTGACATTTTTTTTTGAAAATGTTTCCTTGTAGGCCTCTAACTTAAAGATTGTGTTCATCTTGCTTGCATTCTACACCAACATAGGTGATTTGATATCGTATTTCATTATTATTTTTATGGCAGTTCCTCTTTTCATCATGATAAATTTCTTGTAGCTTTGCTTATAGAACCTTCAAACCTTTACGGGACGTTCACTTTTAGGCCGAATTACAAATACGCCCTTCAAACTTTGCAATCGGGTTTCAAAAATACCCTTATTCTTTTAAAAATTTGTAATAGTGTTACGCTTGACTTTTCTAAAATTTTCAAAACTACCCTCCTTCGAGTAGAAATCAGTTAGAATTTTGGATGAAGATTGAGACTTGGAATGGATATGATAATGTTTTGGTCCTAATTTCCGTTTCAGTCTACTACTACATTATTGGACGAGTTTCTACTTCAAGAATAGTTTTTAAACGTTTATGAAAGATTAAGGATAATGTTACAAGTTTTGAATTAAGGGACAAAGGTCAAGGGTATTTTTTTTGTAATTTAGCCTCGTGTTTACACATCTTAACCGATTTTCATTTATATTTTGGTGCAAGCCAATATAAAAAAGAGTAACAAGTCATATTGCGAATGAAGGCTTTTTCTTATGAAGATGAAACTATGTATGAAACACGAAATTGATGAGCTCGTTTCGCTGCAACAGGATCATATGTATAGTTCGGGGATGACGGAGCAATCTCGGGGGCTCATGCAGGTTCAAAGGGAAGAGATCAAAAGTACTCGTCGATAATTTTAGAAGACGGAATCAGAAATCTCATTCATGGTTTGCTTTACATTTGATTAATAGGCATTTCCCCATTTCTTGCTTTGACAATTTGCAAGTCCATATTTTTGTAAAATAAAAGCTAGAAGTTAGCATAAGTCAATTAATTCCCTCTCACATTCTAGGATTGATCTTTCCATGTTCTTTGGCCCCAAACTTATTTACATCCTTGTAACATTTTATGTTGCAGCAGCATCTGTATATACTAAAACCATCTTTTAACATTTTCTTAATACAAATAACTACGTCTAGATCTGAATCTCTCACTTCAATAGAGAGTACATGTCTTATTCTGGTTTTAATCTAACCCCTTTCCTAGTTCTCCCATGTGTATACGACTTAGTCACTCACAGGGTCTGAGAAAAGGATATGAAAGGCGATTTCACTCTAAATAGACCAGGAATGGGCTCGATCACAAGAATATTTTTAGTGGGACATAGTTATGCTAACTTTCATATAATTTGTGTAAATCCGACTCAATGGAGATAGAAGCTTTAAAAAAACGTTAAAAACAGAAAATATTTCTTAAATTCTTAGTGACATTCAATACAAAAATATTTCTTCCAAAAAAAAAAGATTTTTTAATAGTTTTCAAGAACTTGATTTGGTTCAACTTTCAAAAACAGAAAATCAAAGTATTCTTAGTTATTATTGAGGCAACTTAATTTCATTTTATCATTCATCTCATTCAAATAAAAAGTTCTTAGGATGATCCATCAATAACAGAACGTCTTTTCAAAGGTCTGAATTAACAGTCAAAAAATAATTATTCATTTATAAACTGCCTTTTTAAATATATATATATATACATATAAGAACACAAAACTAATATCATCTTAACTTTTCCAAGCAACTTCTATAACAAATTTTCATGAAATATTGGGTTGCCCTGTCACATCATACCAATTGGGTTTGTGAAAACTTATCAATGACTAATTCTGAACACACAATTTTCCACAACCTATCATGGTGGGATGATTCTCAATATTAAAAATTGAAGAGTCTAATATGAAGTATCACAGATTTCAGAACCAACCAACCACAAATCCCACAAAAACATGCCACGGGGAATTATTGATAAACTTTATACGACAGAAAATGATCTAACCTAACAAAAACAGTAAAGCCGGTTGCTCGTAAGCAGCATTATCAGTTACAATTGGGTCGGGAAAAGCAAAAATTCATGAGTTTAATGGGTGATGCGGGCAGAGATACCAGTCCTGATTGTAAATAATATAAACATCTTCTAATTGGCGTTTGCAAACTGGATTCCTTTCTCAATAGAAGCTTTGAGCTCGGGCTTGAGCTTTTCCAAACCTTCTTTCTCGAAGTCTGAGAGAGTACCCAAATCCAAAACTTGTTCTACTCCATTCTTTCCAAGCTTAACCTGTTTATACAATAAAATCAAAGTGAACAACAATTCATGTTGTTGGAGGATTGCGACTATAAAGAAACACCAACAGTTGAACTTCTAATTTTTTGAGTTTCAACTCAAATATATGCTATAAGGAAAAAGCAGTGACGGAACCAGTTACCTTTGAGGCAAAGAATGGAAGTTCAGTGACAGTTGATTGCACAAACGTGCATTCCACAACATCTGGAACCCCATTCAATCCCTTGAGACAAGCATCGGCGAAAAGGGCTCCAGCATAGCTGCCAGAAACAGTAAAAACGTTTAATATATTCACATTGTTCACCGAGTAATATTTGTGTGATGATTGCAACAAAACAATACTGTTCACAAGCCTCGAAGTTCAGGAAATAAACTTCTAATAAATAATCCAGCAGAAAGTAAAAAGTCTTACGCCATTGATAATGTGGCAGAACCCTTTCCTGCCTTTGCTTCCACAACTTCTGTTCCTCCATCTTGAGTTCGCTTGGTAAGAGCCAAAATAGTATCATCTGACAAATTAGCTTTTGGGGTAGCCTGTGACAATCAGATACACCGTATAAAAACAACAAGACCCTCTAATCCAAAGCATCCGATGCAAGAACACTGCTTATATCACTAATAAAATTGTAAACAGAAAGAAAGCTGACTTAGAAAGGGAAGTACCTGAGAAAATAGTGGAAGAATAGTAATACCAGCATGGCCACCAATAACAGGCACATTAACCTCTGTAACAGTATTATAATAGTCAGGCAATAAAGTTTGACCTTGCTCCTATGTGTGCAGCGTAACAAGGAAACACCCTTGATCATTGTAAATGGAAAATTACAGAGAAATTTCAAAAACGGAATTATAGCAACGACTTATACCAGATACTGGAGCATTAGCTTTCCCAGCATAAAAGGTCTTGGCCCTGACGACATCAAGAGTAGTAACACCAAACAACTTCCTTTCATCGTAAGTACCAGCTTTCTTGAAAACCTCAGCAGCAATTGGGACAGTTGAGTTGACGGGGTTACTGATCATGTTAACAAGAGCCTGCAAAACCGTATTTCGATTACAAAATGAAGCCAGATAAAAAAGAAACTAAAGAAAAGAAAATGCATCAGTAGAAGAGTTGTGGGAACAGACATTGGGGCAGTACTTAGCAATGGCTGTGCAAAGTGATTTAACAATGCCAGCATTGATGTTGAAGAGATCATCACGGGTCATCCCAGGCTTTCTTGGAACACCGGCAGGAATGATGACAACATCAGATCCCTCCAAAGCTTTGGCGAGTTGCTCCTCACCCGCGTAGCCGGTAACCTACAAGTCGCAAAAAGAGTTCAGAATAAGCATGCAATGAACACTGATTTAAACAAATTACAGAGAAGCAAAAAATCCTGAAATGAACAAAAATAGCCCAAATCGATGAATACGAAACGCATTAGAACAAAACATAACTCAAAATCGACTTAAAATATGGAGCAGAAAACAAACAATATACATCCGGACACAAAATAACACAGAAACTGAAATCACGCGAACAAAAACAAGATCCATTGCATTCCTAAAAGAGGCATCCACAAATCAAAACACAATTACTCGTAACCGAGCAAGATAAAAGGTGGAAAGAAACGATATTGACCTCGGATCTAGTATTAACATGACCGACATCGGCGGCAACACCAGGAGTACCAGCAATATCGTAGAGTGCGAGCCTAGAAACAAGTGGATTGAGCTTCATAAGAAGCGACAATGGCTGTCCAATTCCACCAGCGGCACCGAGTACGGTGACTTTCCTTTCCGGCACCGATTCGGTCCCAAAGCTACGTCTCAAGAGGTGATTCGATGATGAGGACCTCGAAACGGCAGAACGAACGGATCTGAGAAGTGAGGCCTTCATTGTTCCACGTAGAAGAACACCGACGAAACCAAGAAAGAGAAGAAGAAGAAGAAGAAAGGGGTTTGCGGAAATGAAGGGTTATTCAGATCGAAGCCTTGTGCCTTCGCTTTTATTCTCAAGGCGAAGGGTTCGATGGTAATTTCGATATTTTTTTTCTTTCCATCGGTCTTTTTTCAGATCTTGAATTTTGTTGCTTGGTTATCTAAAAATGGAATTTTTTTTAGTTCAAAATAAAAATAAAATAAAACCCCATAGATATTATAAGCACAATTAAATTTAAATTATAAACTTAAGTTATCGAATTGATCGGGTCAAACAAGGTTCATCAGATCATGTAGAAACAAGGTTCAAATCAATCTACTAGGTTCAAGTCTATCGATCTATTAGAATGCTTCTGCTGTATATATCACATCGTATTGATCGGGTCGAACAAGGTTCATCAGATCATGTAGAAACAAGGTTCAAATCAATTTACTAGGTTCAAGTCTATCGGTCTGTTAGGATGCTTCTACTGCATACATTACATCAAATCATGTAGGAATAAGGTTCAAATCTACCAGTCTGTTAAAGATGCCTATACGTCTCAGCTGCATACATCACTACACTTTTACACTTCCACTTGACACCCATCGACTCTATTTATAGGTCATCTAATAAATTTTTAAATCTTTATAAAATCTTGTATTTTAAATTTTATGATAATAAATATATGATTTTATTAGATACAAAATAAAAAAATTTTAGATAAAAAAATTTATTAAAAGAAAGAGAGAAAAAAAGGTAAATTATATAAACGACGACGCTTTCTGAATTTAACATCTGTTATATACATTAAAAGAATAAAATAGAGGTCTTTGAGTAGACGTTTTATTTTTAAAAATATTTATATTGACAATTTAAACCATGAATTTAAAGAAATAGCGTTTTAAACTTTGAATGGGTATAAAAATAAAAATTTTAAAAAAGTGAAGGGTATAACAACTTAGTCTCCTAAGATTTCATAAAATTTCTAACGTATGTTGATCAATTAACCTGTGAGATCCCACATTGGTTGAAAAAGAGAACAAAATATTATTTATAAGCGTGGGGAAACCTCTCCAAAGCAGTGTAACGGGTCAAAACATCGTGAGGCTGACAACAATATGTAACAGGTCAAAACATATAATATTTGTTAGTGGGTAGGCTTAGGCGGTTACAAATAGTATCAGAGCCAGACACCGAAGCAGTGTGCCAATAAGGACACTAAGCTCTGAAAGGAGTGGATACTGAACAGTGTGCTAGAGAGAGGAACAAAACATTCTTTATAAGACGGTGGAAACCTCTCCCTAATATCGATGGTGAGATCCCACATTGGAGAGCAGGTATGAAAGGAAAAGCATAAAGAAGACAATATCTGCTAGCGGTGAGCTTGGACTTGGACTATTACATAACTCATTACATAAGAGAAAAACCGACACTAAAGCCCAAGAGCTAAATTGTTACCTATAAACGAAAATTCAACACAATACCATGAGAAAACCAAATAAGTTCGTAGTGTTGTGGGCAAAACAAGATGATTAAAGTGAAGGGCATCCTTGAAAAAGATTTTGGACCATTTTCTTTTCTTGCTCTTATCAGCAAAGAAGATGGATGACCTTTGGCCATGGCTGATGCCTTTCCATGAGGCCATCTGGTCATCTTTTTATGGGAATGTGTGCAACTTTAATCTGCTAGAATATTACTATCACTTTACATAATATTCCTATTCATTCAAAGAACAAAACTTACCCCCCCAAAAAAAAAGCATCAAAATCAGGTTGGTTCATAGGACAAGATATAAGTACCTGAAAATAAATTAGACCAACTCCAAAAAATAAGGCATACTGACCACTTTGAAGACTGAATGGTCATTGGGAACTCATCATTCTGGAGTTCTGTAACTGCAAACGCTGAATATAACCAATCTCACACTTTAAGATGTTGGCCAAAAATAGGGGGGGGGG